ACAAACTTAGAAGAGATTTCCTATGGGGATCAAGGCAGGGAGAAAGGAAATTACACTTAGTCAACTGAAACAACGTTTGACAACCGAAATCACGAGGTGGATTGGGCCTCAGGAAACTGAGAGAGGTGAACAATACTTTTTTGCTAAAGTTAGCATGGGAAATCATCTCGGGCAAACGAAGTCTCTGGACCTCAATCTTCAAGGCAAAGTGCACAACCAATGTCTCGGCTCCGATCCACCAGAACCAAACAAGACATGGATCACACCTGTGGAAAGAGCTCTAAAAAATCTGGTCACTGGCCTGCCAAAGCACCAGATGGTCAATAGTAAATGGAGAAAGGAATCAATTTTGGTCCGACATCTGGTTAGATCCTGATCATCCAATCGAACACTACACCAGAAGGCCGATTTCAGCAAAGGACACCCAAAAAAAGGTGATAGAATATGTAGACAACACATGACAGTAGAAATGGCTAATGCTTCAGCCATTTATCATAGAGGAAATAAGAAGGAAGCTAATAGCTACGGTGCCCTAAGACCCTCAACTTGGACCAAACCTGCCACAAGGGAGATGGACTAATTCCGGCATCTTCATCATAAGCTCAGCTTTTCAGAAACACCACTAACAAAATTCTGAATCCGAAGATAGCTACTGGATCAAGGTATAGAAATGGAGAGGCCCAGAAAAAATCATACTCTTCTTATGAAAATTGTCGAGATAGACACTGCTCACTAATACAGAAATAAAGAGGCGTCACATCGCAATTGAAGATTGCTGTGGTTTCTGTGGTAGACCGGAATCTCTATTTCACCTATTCTAAGATTGTCGGAAGAGCACTCAGATCTGAAATGCTATCAAGGGAGATCTTCAAAACTCTTTTTGGATTGAGACTGACTGGAAAAAATGGTTGGCTTCTAACTTAACGTTCTCTTCTTCTACTTGCAGGATGATACAGACTGGCCACTACTGTTTGCCACTACATGCTGGAAAATATGGACCTTCAAAAACCAAGAGGCGTTTTCCGGCAATTATATGAACTCCAGGAGTATAGCTTTTGCGATCTCAGCAGCGACTACTGAGATTTCTCGATCCAACAAACTCTTACACTCAAAGAAGCTGCTGATCCAAATGATGCGAGAAGATTCCCGATGGAAACCACCCCCTTGGGAGTGGATACGAATTAATACAGATGACTCTACAACCCTAGCGAACAAAAAAGCAACGACTGGCGGCATTCTGCGCAACCACGATGGCCATGGATAACTGGGTTTACATCTAACTTAGGAGATTGCCCTATTTTGGAGGCCGAACTATGGGCACCATGGCATGGGCTGTAGATCGTGTGGCAATTGGGCTTCACCAAAGTCCAATTACAAATTGATAGTCTGAAAACAGTAAAAGCCCTAATTAACAGAGACCTACAAAATTGGGCCGATAATGTAATCTGCAGAATAACTAACCTTCTAGATAGACAATGGACTGTAGAAATTTTGCATATCAAACGCGAAGGGAACCAAGTAGCAGACTCCCTAGCGAAACTGGGCTACTCAGCCTCGGAGGGGTTACATATTTTAGTAACGCCCCTGTCAACGGTACTAGATAAATTAGCTTTTGATATCCCCAATTCTCCTCGTGAGAATATTTTTTAAACCAAGCATTCTATGCTTTCTCAATATATTAAAAAAAATGATAAAACTCATCGAAGTATGATGTTTGTTTGCAATTATGGCTGAAGGAAATTTCTATTATACAAAAAAGTTTTTCTAAAAATAGATCACAATAACATGCGTATCTTTTTTCTTTTTCTTTTTTTTTTTCCATCTTCTTTGACTAACGCTTAATTTTGCTTATCCTCCTACCTTTGTAAATGAATATGGGGTTAAGGAAAATTTAAGAATGGCTAATGCGTTGTTTCTTTTTTGTTTTTCTGTTGGACTTTAATGGGATTTTAGGTTTTGGTTTTTGTTTTCTGCTTTGTGGGAGATGATTGAACAGACGATGCATATGTGCTCAAAACTTTTACTAATTAATTTCTCAATAGCACAATTTTATGAGTCAGTCATATTGAATTTTTTGTTTTTCCCCGGGAAGATGAAAGTCCAACGTGATATGTAATTGTTGAAAGGGAAATATAAAAATTAACTCGTCTTCAACACAAAGGGTAAAAATGTCACAAAACTATATTTAATACAGTAAAGAAATTCTACGCCCTTGATAGGAATTTCAATAGTTCTATGCCATAATAAAGAATTATGAAAAGTGCAATGCCGTTAATGAGAATTTTTCCAAAAATTTAAATGTATGATAGAGAAAGAAGTCTAGAAAGAGGTCATATTTATACCCCTAAAAGGAATCAAAGAATATTTCTTTTGGAAGTTTCTATGGACCTCAAAATATCATTCAGTCCAATATCAAAGATGGATGGGGCTTAGGCCCCATCTCCATTAGATGTAAACATTGTTTCACTTTTGCACAACTTAAAAAATTTGTATAGCCCAAGGTCTGAACTCCAAACCTTACAACTATATAGTCTCATACGACTAAAACAAAAAAGTTAAACTAATAATCAAAAGGTAATTAGCCGTCTTGCCAATCCTTGTTTTGGACTCCTTCAATCCTATATACATGTATCCTGTTGCACTTATTTTAAGCTCAGTTTGGTGAAGAAATTCATCTGCATTCTCTAGCTGCTTGCGTGTATGCGGATTTGTTGAAAATTAGGATAGCCAAAAAAAAAAACCCTTGGATGGGAAGATTCATGTCACCCAAGAACAACGTATGGAGTGATCTTCTAAGTTTGTACGTTTCGTATATAGACTCTTGTGCAGATTCCAACCTGTCCTGTTCAATGGTCAATTTTAGCATTCCTCAAATGCTTCTGGCTCAAGTTTTTTTCACTTGGGTGACAGCGATGTTTATAGTAAGGTTATGTACCACAGTAGGTTTCTAAATATTGTTAAAAAGTCAAATAATAGAAAATGAGAACCTCTTCGTTGGCTTCGTGTTACTATTATCACTTTAGGGCCGAGAGTACTCTTTCAGTTCCAAAATAAATTTAACACGCACGACTCTTACAATGGGGGCGAAAGAGAATATGTATATTATCCATCCATGATCCACTTGGCGTACTACTACATATTTATTATTTTTATCCGTTTTTTTCTTATAATACTTGTACTTAATTTATACAATTATGCATGTGATTTGTCCGTAGTTTACTCCATCGATCATACGTTTCTTGATGCGATAGATTTGCACCATGAATATATATATATATATATATACATATATATATAGATATATTTTATGCTATTGGTTTCATCCAACTTCTTAATTTCCCTTTTACTCTAACGTCTAAATCTTATCGATATCCTTGAGAATACACCATCAAAGATGACTCAGAGGATGAAATTAATAACAAATTCAGGCAAGAAAAACATCATCAATGAGGGACAGAACCTTCTGATTTACACATCTTCCCAAGGGGACTCTCTGAATTAAAACATCGTTATTGTCTCACTTGCAAGAGACTCGTGGCGGATAAACTGTACGGTAGAAACTGCATATTCTTTGTATAGTCAACCCGGATGAAAAATGAACGTTGATAAGTTTCACCAACGGCCGAAATTGGAACACTTTTAATTAACAGAACTTAATAGATTTTATGTTTCAGTAGGAGATCGAGCATGATGCTATTAATTTATTAGTGTTTATACATTTTGTTGATGCATATTCGATTTGGGTGTATTAGTAAATATTTATACTCTCTTTGTTTCAAAATTATATTGTCAGGTTAAATTGTATTAAAAATGCAAATCCAACCCCACAATAATCTTCGGACGAAGAAGTACATTTTACGAACCCAAGCAATGATGTGATACATTTTACCATTTACCTCTCGTTGAATGGTACTATTAGGGAGTTGGGAGTTAGGTCATGAGGAAAGAGCATTGGAAAGGTCAAAGACTGACCTAAAAGTTATATATATTCATCTTTCATGTCCAACGTCTGAATTCATGAGTAGAAAAATGATGAATCTCAAAACACTAGGAATTCTGCAATATCCCAAAAACAGGTGACAAAATTAATAAACAACACCCCAAAATCAGGTGACCTCCCCATCAGAAAAACTCCCTAATTTATCCCCCTCCCCCTCCCCCCACATTGCGACCTAAATCACGTGACTACTCCTCCCTCCAACTCCAAGTCATTCTACAAGGTTCCTAGTTGTCTCTTTTTTTTTTTTTTTGGCTGCTTAAAATTCACAAATTCTAAACTCTTTTCCATCCCTTCATTTGTTTTCTTTGTACTGATCAATCGCCATAGAATAACAGTTAGTGTAAAAGATTTTACACTCACGTAGATCTCGAAATTCTCATTCACATAATGGACTTTATAATGTATTAATGGTATAGGTAATAAATATCCAACGTTTAAGTCCTCTCTCAACAATATGAGATTATGGTTACAACATAATATGGTCGAAAATTCTAAATACATACTCCAATCTCACAAAATGTTAAACATAAAAAAGCAATATTGGGGAAAAAAGCTGTGTTTGAAAATCGGACCGGATCGGGCGGTCGAACCGGTTCAATCGGAAATCGGAGACCTTTTTGGTTCGATTTTGGTTATTAACTGCCAAGCTTAAAAATCGTTCAAACTCGGTCAAAGCCAGATAGAACCGAGGTTCGACCGAGAACCGGTACCGGTTGGTCCGAATTTTTAAAATTTTGAAAATAAATTATTTTTTTAATATTTTTTATAGCCGATTTTGACCGATTTTTAAAACCATTCCACACCGGTTGAACCAGTGAACCAATAAACCAGTTAAGTTTCCGGTTCGCCTTCCGGTCCCATTTTCAAAACATAAGGAAAAAGTTTTCTACTAATGACGGCGTGGTAGACTTTGTTAATACAGTTGGGAGGGTGACTTACTAGACAAGGGTTAGGACCCCGTTTTTTTCCTTTGGCCGCCATTTCTCCGTCAAAACTACAAAGTGAAGCCATTTAGCCACGCCATTCTGCCCTTTATTTATACCGCACTTTTCTTATTTATTTACACTTCCTCTGTATTACTACCAACTCTCCCACACAAATTTAAGCGCTCTCTCTGTTTCTCTCTCTTCCTCTCCTCTCAATTACACACACTAAAACCCGTTAAATGTGTGTGTAGATTCGACTATACTGTTGTAATGGCGATGAATCAAAGTGGGTTGGGTCCAATTTTCTCGTTCAGGAGTGGGGATTTTGGTGGGTACATGACCGACTTGGAGAAGAGACAGCTGTTCTTGAGGAGCTACCAGTTTAGCCGGAAGAAGACGGTGGCTGAACGGATTAGAGGGTCTTTCTTTAGAGTTAAAAGGGTCATCTGGGGTCGTCTCAGATCGGCCAAAAAGATTCGGAAAATGGTTTGGTCAAGGATTAAGCATGGCTTCTTCTTCACCTCTGCTTGCCGGAGAAGAAGATCTTCTTATAACTTCCTCCGCCTTCAAAACAATCATTACAGTTACAGCTACTTTGCCACTCATCGTCATCACCACCACCATGGTTCCTCTTGCTTATGGTAGAATTTGGATTATATTTGTTCTTTTAATTTTTTTTAATTTATTTGGGGAAATTTCACTTTTTTTTTTTTCCGTTCTGGTTCTGGGCCATCTTGAATTGATTTGTAGTACCATGTGTAGTAATGGTGGAAGGGGGAAATAGAAACATCAAATGGGTTTTGGCCGGCTCTGTTCTTAGATTTGATGTTATTAGTGTGTGAATGTGTGCTGGCGAGCTGACAAGTTCTCTCAATAACAGAATTCATGTATGTAGTATCAATTGGGTTTTTTGATCTATTCGTCATTTCCAAATTGGTGATTATGTTGTTTATTGGATATATGTTGTAGTAGTAGTATACTCTATACACAAGTATCCACATTAAGTTCTGATTATAACTAATTTAATGCATGAAGATTGCATAATTAATGGATGAGATTCTCAGTTTCTCACCACTAGACTTATACTATATTTATAAAAGAAAATAATAAAAGAAGGATAAAAAAGGAGATCCTATCATATATGGTATTTTGGCATAATTAGCAAAGGCTTATGTGTACCATTAGTGAGAGTGATTAAGATGATAACTTATTACCATTTCTTTAAGCAATTTGTGATCATATTTTAAAGGGGGATGCTTTTAGAATGTTTTTTTATTTCCCTCCAAAAGTAATATTCCATGACCCAAATTGAGATAATAGAGGAGGCAAAAAGCAGAGGAGGAGACAAATGAGCCATTTTGGCAGTTTTGTACTTTGCTCTTTTGATTAAATTCCTAAGGGATTTCGATTATTGCAGCCATAATAATTGAGCAATTGAGTTGGGGCACATTTTTGGCTTTTAGGGTAAGAGCCTAGAGTTCAGCTCAAACCTCAAGAATCAATTAAAGAATCTTCCATTAGTTATTTCTTGTCCTATGTTTGGGAAGTGCCTAAATTGGTTAACAGATTAAAAATGAAACAATACAGTACTAAATGAAAAGAATAATCTAATTCTGGTTGAGAAAGGTGTTTGGCCACGGGAATAGACACCTTTTTTGGTTTGTGCCATTTGGTGAAAGTAACAGAAAAAGGCAAAACGCAAAATGAGGGGCTCGGGGTGGGATAGAACGTTCTTCTTCACGCTTTATTAAGCCTTTAAGATAAACCAAAAACTTGTGCATTGGGACGAAGGAAAGCGCACATTATTCAAACCTGCATTTAACGCATGAATGAAGACACTGAAAAGAGAAGGGAAAACAAAAAAAAAGAAGAGACAATATGGTTGGTTTTTTTCTTTTCTATAAAGTCATTTGGGAAGCGTGAGTTTTATGACTTTCTTTTTCTTCTTTCCTTTTAACAACACATTTACAGATGTAACTGTTGGGAATTGGGCGTATTTGGACCCTAATTAAGTATTCAATGATTTGATAATCCTAATTAATTTCCTCGATTTCTTGTGGATTAATTCATTTCAGGTATCATATATTTTTTTTCTTCATACAGAGAACTAAAATTTAATGGTCCACTTTTATTATCCTTTTCAAATTTGCTTCTCATTAACTAAAGGCGTATATGACCTGATTAGAATTAAGTAGAAGTAGTAGTAAAAATTATTACGTACAAATTGAAAAATGATTCTATACACTTACTTTCCAAATTATGAGGTCGATTACTATCAGTACTAGTATATAATGATAGCGTTGTACCAGGCAATCTGACTTTTCCAGAGTACGTTATGTTTTCTGAATCGACCTGCAAAAACATAATAATAAATAAAATAAAAATAAAGCAGGTAAGAGTCATACCCATACATCATAAATTATGTGTCCAGAGACTCCAGACAAGCGAGTGAATGAATGAATGACGATGATGGAATGCCACATTGCCACCAACATTTCTTTTTATGTATTCAGGATTACGAACGTTTTTTTTTTTCTTTCCCAATTTTTGTCTTAAAGATGGCTTTACTTATATTATTGATATTGCAAATCGACACCACTTTCCTTTTCAAACCTTATTTTTTCCGTATCAATTCAGACCATTAATAGACTACTAACAAAAATCGATCATTCTTTTCAATAGTCGATTACGTTCTCTTTACCTTTATCATCTCGCGTATTCACAGTTTAGTTTTAATCCGATTTCGTTGAACGGAAAATTTTCTTTATTCTGGGTACCAAAACAAGACTAGTTTGGACTTGGACCAAATCGGGACTCGATTTGACTGGTAATTAAGTTTTGAATGGCCCGTGAAAACATACCTGGTCGGGCCGTCGGGGTAGGAGAAATTCATTAGGTCCTTTTTTTTTTTTTGGTCCTGAAAAAAATTACAAGTATTTGCATAAGCTAAAATAACCTTTAGTATGAGTCTTCATTTGCAAACGTTTGCTGCTTTTTTTTTTTTTTTGGTGGAAGTATGATATGACTTCTCTGGTCAACCACACGCAAAACGTTCACAGAATCCCACGTTGTCAAGCCTAACTCTGAGGAGAAGATTAGTTAATCAATTGGAAAATCTCTCTACTTCTAGTGTACTTACAAGTAGAAAAATACAAATTCTGGAATATTGTTTAATAAAAAATGTGGTAAGATCTTGCTTTTTATTTATTTTTCTTAACAATATCAAATAAAAGGAGTATGCCCATTTTTGTGCCGAAATTGCTCTCCCAGTTTCCCATGTCCTAATGCCAAGAAAAAGGCATTTGATGTGTTCTAACTCAACCACTACTTGCTTTCGCATTCACATCTCTAACCATATATGATACTCCCTCAGTCCCATAATTATTGTCTACTTTGAATTTTCATTTTTAGTTCAAATTGTACTAAAAATGAAATCTCAAACTGGACAATAATTTTGTGACAGAGAGAGTATAACATAATGTATAAAAATATATATTCATCGTAAAACAAAATGTAACATTTTTCTACATCTATTAACCAAAACGAATACTTACGTCAGTACCAAGTAAAAGAAAATAATTCACCGTTCTGTTACTACTACTCGGAAAAAGAAAATTGTGCTGTTAATTTACCAACGGGACTACTATTATTTACAATTCTAAGCGACCGTTTTGGCTTTGGAATTGTGATACATCCAACTAAAAAAATACATGTGGGATTGGGATAGCCGAGTTGGGTTAACGTTGTGATATTATTATTCAGAAAATGGGAGTCATTAATGGTAGCTAAATATGCTGTACAAAAATTGCCAGATTGGTTGGAGATCGATAGATGGTCATCGCTAGGTAACCTCAAGTTGTGGTCCTTTGTGTTAAGCTTTCCAGCTAGCTATGGAGACTCAGATCTATAACAACACTCTATACACACACACACACACACACACATATATATATATATATATATATATATATATATTCACCTACTTAATAATCAAACTCTATATATCAGTACGAATTCCATGAAATAAATTGTTACTTTCTAATTTCATCTCCATGTCATACTATTCCTTTTTTTTTTGTTTACCTCCCCACAAAAAGAGAGAAGCAAACGCCTTAAAAAAAAAAAAAATTAACCAACATTGTTCCGACGGTGGAAACATCTATGGATAGCGAATTATACTCCTTATCCTTATGTCTCAAAATTATTGTCCAATTTAAAATTTCATATTAGTATAATTTGAACTAAAAATGAAATTCGAAATTTAACAATAATTATGAGACGGAGGGAGTAAAATTGTTAATATTCTTCCTGTGTTACTTGCTCTCGAAAAAGATTAAAAATCAGTTTCAAAATTAACGTGTAGGAGTAATAAAAACGCCTGCTCCACACTTTAGCTAATCAATATCCCTATTTGGCTGGGAGACGACCACGCTCTGATATAGTTGTGTGTAATAGAGTTAGCTTCCGTTGACTTTTGAGGCCCTGTAGCATAGTTAATTGACTAAGTAGCTATACCAAAAAATCTTATTTAATTTACCCTTGAAGTGATGGCATAGTGGTATAATTATTAAATTAAGATCGTATCACTAAGAATCTAAATATAGTATCTACTAATTCTTTGATGTCAATCAATTAAAATAATACACTTTCGAAGTGATCATGAACGATATGATAAAAGAGAATGGAAGACCAATTAATTAAAAAGCACAGTAGGCATAGAAGTACTACTCAGTAATTACGAGCACTTGTTTTCTTGTGGGCAGATAATCTATTTACTTTGTTATTTGAATGTAGAATGGATCGAAAGACCATACTTTCGTTTGTGTTGGACATTGCAACAAATGTGGTTTTGACAAATATATTAGTATACTATAGCAAAACAATGTCACGATTTTCTTCTACACACGTCGAGAAGATAATTTGTCATTCCACATTAAAGGTGAAAAGATAATTTATGTCTTCGCGCCCTTGCCGATCAGGTTTTTGTTTTCTCTATAACATAAAATAAAACATACACAAGCCCTATATAATTATTAAGCTGATAAATTTGGATGAAAAAAATGTTTTGTTTTATTTCGTTCTTTTTCTTTTGGTGGTATTTCTAGGTTGATGATGATGATGATGATGATGATGTAGCCACGCCTCTGCGCAAGTTTTCTTTGCTCTCTTCTAAATCTAAATTAAATGGAAAACAAAAGTAGTACTAATAAACTTTAATTTTTGAAAGAATTGTTTTTCGTCCGTTTGTTATTCATTAATCTTCCTTTTTTTTTTTCCCGTTTTGCGGTGGTAATCGTATATTTCAGCGTATAGCAATGCCAAAAGAAATTAGGGGAACAACAATTCTTGGATTTGTCTTTTAGGAGTAGCTAGCTAGTGATCATTCTTGTGTTAACAACAAGTTAAGTTAGTAGTAATCTCTCTACATGTTTTTTTATATTCTTATATATCTACATGTATTGTGATACAAACCAATCAATTAAGCTACTAACTCTCTGCTTATATGAATTGTTTAGCCTCAGAAAAGTTTGCAATCATAATTGTCTGTTCGTCAAATACTCAAATATTAAGCAAGATGCTTGTGAATGTCACAATGTGAGCTGCAATGGCATCCATTTTCGGTAGTTTTCAACAGTGTTTCAACCCCCTACTATAATATCTACCATCATAGATTTGATCTCTCATAAGCTCACACCAATTATGCAAAATCCAAAAACCAAAACAAAATACAAAAAAATAAAACATTATACTATTAATAAGAAAAAGAAATTGATTACATGTGTCCAGATCCAGTTGGCTCGCATCAACCTTCCTAATAAATATACTAAAGCCTAACATATATGATATTGACCGCGACAAACTCAAGCGCCTCCTTCTAGCCGGATTGGCTCGAAATTTGATCTGAATGGGAAAACATGCTGGGCACAAAAACCACCAAATTTCATAACTTCAGTCTCCTGAACAACAAGAATTCCGATACTTCTGAAATCTTGGTTTTGTTGCTTGATCAAACGCCAGTTATGATGATGTCTTGAATCATCATCATCCTCCACAACCCACAATTGCTTCCCTTCTTTCTCAGATGTTGTTACTAACCCAAGCTTCCCTTCATATTCAATCAATGAACTTCTAAGGCTGTTTACCCCTTTAGGAAGAGGAAACCTACGATAAGTCTCGTCTTCGTGATCGAACACGACGACGCGACCGTCGGTGGTGAGCCAGTGTATCAATCCATTCACAACTAACGACTCATTCTGTCGAACAAACAACACCATTTTCGGTAACACTACGTCGTTGATCCCCCTCTTCCATGTCCACGTCCTCGAATCAAAGACATCGCAACGATAACCGTAGTAGTTCGTGGCACGATTGGCCCCACATTTTGGCGAAAGCGTTACCATCTTAAATGTTAGAGGGTCGGAAGTCAAGACCACTAAACCAACTTGTTCGGTTGGAAACTGATCAACCGGCTTATGGTTCGGTATAGCAAACCACTGGTCCGAAGTAGGTTTGCCAACATAGTACGTCCGGTCAGGGAACTTGTCTGCACGAATGCACAAGATTCCTTCTTTTGAAGATGCCTCGATCTTCACATTGTCGAATTTCCTGAAATTTTTCCAATCAATTTTGATAGTGTTACTAATGTTGTTATTATTCTTCTTGCTGCCATCCTGTTCATCGTACAAAGATACCAACTCTTGAACGTACTTGGATGATTTTCGATCTTGTAAAAGAAATCCAGAGATGGCGCTGGTATCCTTGCAATCTTTGAAAACCATCATCTCGCACGTATCCATCAGCTTAATTTGATCGATGAAGATCGATGACAAAGTTAATTTTTTTTGAAGAAATTAAGAATTGAGGCAGGAAAAAAAAAAGCTCTCAAAGACTTTCTGATGTAGAAAATCAGGTTTATCATGCTTTGTATTTATAGAAACCAAAAATCTCCTTTTCCTTTTCCATATCAAAATAGGGTTGAATTGTTGTTGCGTGAATTTCCTGAAACATAAAGCAATAGGGTTGCACTATAGTTTCAACTTTGGAATCGGATTCTTCTTGTTTCCATAATAAGCAATTACCATAACGGTTTTTTCTTTTCTTTTTTGGTAGTGCATGTAATAGAGCTAGAATTGCTCTGTAAGCTATTTATTGGGTTTGCAATATCACCCGACTTTTGACAAGAAAACAACAACCTGATCAATCCACATGAGGGTTCGAAAATAAATTCATTGGCATTTAAAAAATAGTCGCAAATTTCCGCTCAAAAAAAAAAAAGTTGCAAATTTCCCTCAGAAAATTGCTCTAAGCCCTGGATTGAAGTCGAAAATCATGAGCGCGGACCAATTGCTCCCTACCGGAGATTCGCTGATCATACACACTCGCGATGATGAGATCCTTACCGGCTATGATTATGAGCTCGTTAAAGCTGACGTACGTAACAACCTAAAACATGTTCTCCTTAGGGTTTTTTTTTTGTTGAGAAAATTTGGTTGTTGTTTTTCCTATTTTTACACACGAACGTTTGATTTTAAGAATCTTTTAATTCGGTGGTATTTCTAGGATGATGATGATGATGATGTAGCCCTCCCCGACAATGGAGATTCTCCCCCCGCGAAGAAGGTAAACTCTCTCTGGTCGCTTTAATTTCCCCTTTTTGTCTGCGACACGCAATCCCGCAATCCCGACAATCAGCGCATAGATGCAAGGCCAAGGGAAATTAAGGAAACCACAACTCTTGGTTTTGTCTTCAAGGAAGGTGTCATGATAGCTAGCGATCATTGTGTTATAAAAACCGACGGTGAGTTCTTTTATTTTCGGTATAATTAGTAGTCTCTGTTCATGCTGTACATATAAACAAAGAAGTTAGTAACTGATCTATGGTTAAATTAATTATATTCTGTAGCATTGGAAGAGTTTGTCCAGAAGGTTATTAATCTTGATACCCACGTGCTTGTCACTGTTTCTGGAGAGATTGCTGGCCCTAGATCTTTTCTCAGAGATCTCAAAACTCAGGTTTGTATTTTTCTTGTCCCTTTTGCTAGTTTAATAACAATAGAGAGTGATCCCTAATTAAGACATTGGGAGAAGTTTGTTATTGGCATCCATGGAAGTAATAATAGTGAGTGATCCCTAATTAAGACATTGGGCGAAGTTTGCTATTGGCATCCATGGAAGCATCTGATTTACAATTTCTCCATTATATACTCCCTTAGGTCCTTATTTTGATTTGTTATAGCTTTCATTTAATATGTTTTTTTCAATTGAAAAAAAAAATCTAAAAAATATTTCCTAATAATTAGGAGAACACAATGAATGTGCAAATGTAGTTTTAAGTTTTTTTTTAATCAAAAAACATATTAGGTGAAACTTAAGATAAATCAAAATACATTATAATAAGGACCCGAGGAAGTATAATTTTTATACAGGAAAAAAAAACATTTTCTTGGTTTGTGTTTTTACATGGTTATATGATCCTGTTTTTGGTGGATTGATGATTTGTTTCATTGAATAATGCCAGTATAATCTATATAAGTTTACGGAAGGATCAGTTGCAGAGGCATCATATTGGGTGGCTGAAATTATGTCTATTCGCGGTTACAGGCGCAGTGGTTTAGATGTCAACATGCTGATTGTTGGGTGGGATAAGCCTAATGTTATTAACACTATGGTGAGGTTGACGATATGAATATGGTTCTTTTAATGGCATGTGTTTTTTATCCTAGAAATAAGTTGAGGTATTTGGATGCTGTACTTGCTGATGTTTATGGGAAAGTGGATGGGAAGGGTAGATATCAAACTATTAAAAGCGCCACATATGAGTTGTTTGTAGATTATGTGAGAATCCATGCCCCTAAACTTAGTGTTAGTCCGCCTTCCTCACAGCATGATTCTAGTACTTTAGCCAGTTCATCCTCGAAAAGGTTTTCCTCTGTTGATATCCAGCCTTCGAAAATACTTAGAGATAGATTTAGGGTGTTAGCGTAGCAAAAAAATGAAGGAGCTGGTGGGGAAACTCAGTCTGATAAAAGATCAGAATTGGACAAGTATTTCAGGGAAGATGATGAACCAGGTGGTCCAACTTTCGATCTGCTGAAGTGGTGGTGTGTTAACAGCCCTAGGTATCCCATTCTTTCACTAATGGTTCGGGATATTTTTTCTATTCCTGTCTCAATTATGACTTCGGAATCTTGCTTTGGTACGAGTGGGAGGGTATTAGATCCATTCCAGAGTTCTTTGACTCCAAAGACTGTTCAGTGCTTAATTTGCACTCAAGATTGGCTTCGGGGAGAAGTTGAAGAAGAAGGTGTCGAAGAAAGCTGGGAAGAACTCCTACAGAACGAAGAAGGTTACATTGTTACAGTTTGTGTTTTCATTTGATTTTTTAACTATTTGTTTTCATTTGATTGAATATTGACTGTTTGTGTTTGTTTCCTCTTTTTAGCTGCTGAGAAGGAAATGAAAGATGGTGAATCAGACTCTGTGAATTTGCCGTGATCAAACTGTTTGGACGCTTCAATAATAGGTAAAATTTAGATGGCTGTTGCATGTTGCATGAGTTTTTTTATTTCTGAATTTATTGACTTGAATGTAAAAATTCCAGATTGCTGAATGTTGATTGCCTAATGCCTGCTGCAAGCCTGCAATGCTGCCAATTGAAGCGTTGAAACACGTTGAAGACTGAACAATGAAGTTGAACTGCTGTTCTGTTCTGAACTTCAACATTTTCTACTGTGAAAGTTAAAACAATTCTTTTTCTGTAACTAGTGTAGACTGTTGATTATTTCTGGTGTCTGTCAAAAATTGAAGATCTTGCTGTTATTGTATTGTTGAAAAACTGTACTGCTTCTGTCCAGTTAACTGTATTGCTGTTATTGGCTTATTGCTATGGACTGTGAAAAACTGTATTGCTGTTATTGGGTTATTGCTGTGGACTTTGAAACAGAGTCGAAATATCGAAATGAACTTTGAAATGAGATGTCAATTGGTATATTTTTTTATACTGATATGAATTTCATGGAATTTGTCTAGCCAAAGACAATAAAGAATGGCGCTTGTTGGGAGGCAACCCAAGTTTACTTGATTGTGTTTTGATTTGTTAAATTAGTTTTGTCAGTTGAAATTTAGTTTTTCATACATGTTTAGTGTTTTATTTTAGTAAAAAAAAAAATTTGTTAAGCGTGATCATGGGTAAGATAATATTTAGTCTGCTGCATTTTTATTGGAGTAATTTTCTCTTAGGCGTGATCATGCCTAAGAGAAGAAAGGATTCTGAAATTTTTCTTTAATCTTTGACAATGACCAGCGAATCTCCATCCTTACTAGACGTGATCACGTCTAACACGCTGGAGCTCTTTTCTTAAAAAAAAAAAAACCCTAATGTTCTTTTAAGTTTTATTTTCTCTCTGTTCTTTTCCAGGAACCCTAAATTCCAAAATTGCAATCGGGCGAACCAAACTTCAATTGGATCATTGGCTAGCTTCTGCTGCTATTATCATCATTCGTCAATTGCTGTTTTGCACCCTGCTCCTCTCTGATTTTTCAGGGAAGTTTCTTTCTTCATTTTTATATCTTTTGCTACATTGTGGACAATGTTTGTTCTAAGTGTGGGGGGGAGGGGGGGGGGAGGGGAGGGATTTTAGGTGTTCTTGTCTGTTTTTGTTTAGTTTTTTTTTTCATTTATTATTTTAGTGTTTGCTTATGTTAAAAAAAAGAAAAAAAAGAGAAAAAATTGAAAAATGAAAAAAAAAAATCAGAAAAATAAAAAATCCAAAAATAACCCATGATGAACTTAACTTGAGACTCTATGAAATCTAATTACATTGGGACAAAAATTCCTTTTGAGTCTGTGCATTATGTGTTATACCCTGAATACTCTACTTGCGCACTTTCGCCATAACTCTGGGATAAACTTAACATGTGTGTGTAATTGCCTAAATTCATGCGATATGCCAAAGTTTGATTTGATTCATTCAGTATTTGTACCATTTGTATGTGGGACCTTGCTGTATTATGAAACTCAAAAATAAGCACTAACCCTATCATCACTTCAAACTCGAATAACGGGGGAGTGGTGGTTTGAAAATAGCCTTTTTACCTTCTTGCTTAAAATACTTTGTACTAAGTAAGTGTGGGGGAGGGGTTGTTGGCGGATGCTTTTCTGAGGTTAGGTACACTTTAAAGAGGGAGAAAAGGAAGAGCATTCAATATTGATCCTAGCCCATTGGTAGGTGAGAAGTTTGGCAAACAACTAACAGAGTGTCCTCAGGCCCGTCGGTGAGAAAATATGAGTAAGTAGACTGCCCTAAGTTGCTGAGCCACTATGTAAATTACTACATAAATCAAGTGGAAAAGTGCTCTGGGTAGGGGCCTGAGTGGGAAAGATCCTGAAGAAAAGCCATATGGACACTGAAGAATGGGTACGAGGGAAGTGCGTTGAATTTTATATTGTGAGGTGTAATTGTAAGCCTTCGGTTTCATAATATATGTAGGAGTAACATTGCATTGAAGTATGGTCTAAATTAAGGATCCTAAGTTCTCTCTTTAGTGGCATATTTGCATTTGAATTTTTGTATTTTATGCTATGTGTGATAGTGATGTCCCTAGGTAGTGGTTCACACACACACACAAAGGAGCTAAAGGGTAAAAGCACGTAATGTATTTGATTCGGTTGTGAATTTTTGTTTTATTGTTACCATGATTTCTTTTGAGTGCTAGAGTTCCTGAGGCGCATCATAAACAATAATTTGTTGAAAGTTTAGAATTCCTAGTTCGTTAATGGTTGAGGGCAAACATGTCT